CCAAACAATTACAAGATCACAATTAAATTCCATTATGTATTATTAACGTTTATGACACAAGGAGTTCAGTTAAATATGATGATACACTTTTTCATAAAAAGAATTAGTATCATCTAGATTATTGGCATGCATTGAGCCGTTGGTTAAATATTTTTTTATTATATTTTTTTAATATAAAAAGATATTAAGGTTGAAAATAAAAAATTAATTTGGTTGAAAATAAAAAAATTAATTAAAAAATTAAAGTAAATTATAAAACTTGATTTTTAATAAATTTAATGTTGGAGGCTGAAAATAAAAATAAAATCAATTAAAAAATATCCCGAGTCAACTTAGATTAATCTACCAAACTTACTATCTGGATTATTATGAGACTAAAATAACATAATAGAAAGAGAATTAAAATAAATTATAAAACTCAATTTTTAACAAATCTAATGTTGATGGAACTAATTGAAATTAAAAATTAATTAAAAAAACACAAAAAAATAATTTATATTAATCCGGATTAACTTGTTAAACCTATATTATGAGTTGTTAAAAAAAATAACTTCATAAAAAATAAACTAAAATAAATTATGAATCTTAATTTTTAATTAACTCATTATTAAATAATAAAAATGATAAAAAGAATTAATTTGGAAAAGAATAAAAAAATTAAATTAATCAATTAGATTGTCAGTTCGAGTAATGAGATTAGAATTATCTTATAAAAAATAAATTAAAAAAATTATAAAGTTAAAATTTTAATAAAATTAAAATTAAATAATAAAATTAAAATTAAAATTAAAAAAATATTATTGAAGTGAATAATATCTGAAGAGGAAGGTTACAGTAAAATTTTATTTTTATTTTTTTTCAATCAAAATGGATAGACTTCCTGCCATAACTCGTTGGCTCTTGTTGTGAACACTGAAATGCAAAGTCCTCGTAAGTAGACGGGTAAGAACCCATCCATGTTGCTAACAAATTATCTTTCGCTATACTGATGTCTAGCCGACGTAACTACAACAAGAGACCGAAGTTAGAGCTACCGAACCTTGTTTGAACGAGCAAGACACGAGGGAACTACACTTACAACTGTATACTTCAGGATGCATTCTACATTTCAACATGTGTTTTTTGTTTTCCATCATGGTTTTTAAGCCTGATGTAAACTGATTTTAGATAAATTTCAAGATTTTTTTTTTAAATTTAAAAAAAAATTATTTTTTAAAAATCACATTTTATGAGTTCATATAAACAAGTAAAACCTTAGTTATCCTAAACTCTTACAAAAAATATACGCTCTAACTTTAACTCGAGATCTCTTAGTTATCCTAAACTCTTATAAAAAATATACGCCCTGATTTTAACTCGAGACTTACTATACAGATACTAAATTCTTTGTCAAAACTCTTTGTTACCATGCTGCACTTTTAAAGACATATATATTTTAAAACATGTATTAGATTAGATTGATTTATCATAATTTTTAAATTTTAATTTATATTAATTATAAATTAAATTAATTAATTTAAATTAACTCGAATTACTCTAATTTAATTTAATTAGAACTTAATCATTCAATTGCATGATCAGAGGTCATGATCGAGAATGAGTTTAATATCATTAATAATATGAGCTCAACTAATAGCATCACAAAGAGATATGTACCAGATAAGACGAACAAAATCAAAGAAATTATTCTTGGCTCAACAACAATAATTAGTAGATTGCCTCAAATAAATCCGATAGTACCAAAACATAATCTTCAAACGAGGAAAACAAAAGGTGGGGTTTTCACCAAAAATTCACGACTCATTTCAAATTATTTAGTGAGATTCAATCATCTCAGAAAAAATCAAAAATTGATTTATTCTTTATATATACACATATAATCAAATCTTCACCATGCCCCTAAGTTTAAGCTTATCATATCTTTGCACAATATCCATTTCTATAATGTCATTTCGTCAATTTTTTTCTATTCATGGACATATATATATATATATAGTTTGAAGACTAGATAAATAGCTTATGTTATGTTGCATATTAGATCATTTTTTTTCAACACTTAAAGAAGGATATCTAGATGATGACGATAATCAAAGATAAACAGAGTGAAATCTACTAAAATATGATTTAGGATATGAAAAGCAAAAGAAAATTATAAAATTCAAGATTTAATGATATAATGTCAAAGATAAAAACAAAAAAAAATATAATGTTAAAGAAGAATACTCGGGCTAACTTGACGAACCCATAACCCATGATATGCGATAAAAAAAGATTAAAAAAAAAAACCTAATAACAAAACCAAAATTCAATAAAAATTATAAAAAAAACCCAAGTTAACTTTATCAACCTACTCTCAGAATAACCGAACAAGAAGATAAATTTTAAAAATAACAAAGCTCAAGGACAAATAATTTAATACAAAATAATAAAACTGAAAAGAACTCATAAAATCAAGGAAAACAAATCTAAGCCAACTTGGGTTGACTCGATTAACCCACCCCTCACAACATGAAATCAGGATAAAAAACAAATTAGACTTTCAAAAGAAGGACCTAACAAAAAAAACCGAAGTTAGATAAAAAAAAAAACATTAAAAAAGAAAATGCAAACTGATCTAGGTTAGCTTAACCAACTTGCTTTCAAAATAACAAAAAAAAAATAAGAGATAAAAAAATAACAAAGCTCAAGAACAAATAATATAATGCAAAATAATGAAAACGAAAAAAAATCATCAAAAATTGAGGGAAAAAAAAAACTCAGGTACACCTAGGTTAACTCAATCAGCTCCTTACTTGTAACATGAGATCAAGATTAAAAAAATAGACTTTAAAAAAAAACTAGTAAAAAAGACCAAGTTAAATAAAAACAAAATGAGTAAAGAAGTGCAAGTTAACTCGGGTTAACTGGTTAGTACTTAAAAGTGCATTTTTATCAAGGTTTTATATTATCATTTTGCACTCGAAGTATCAATAACTCCTTAACTAAAGCATGTTTTATAATAATGTATATAATAATATAAGATACTTTTAATTTGTAATAAATATTCATTTTAAATGCAGGTCTATCACATAAATGAAAGGATTGATTGATGAATTTAA